ACTTCAAGGAATTAATGGATCTTATTTCCAATCCAACAGTATTTCTTATTGCAGTAAAACATTCATATTAATAAGAAATGGTGTTGGATTGGAAATAAAATCCATTAATTCCTTAGAATTTGCCTTGTTTATCTTTCAGATATAAAATAAAAAGTAGTTATGGACTTTCAAGCAGATAAATGCTTTTGAAAAGATTTGAACAAAGGGATGCGCATTCTTTAAAAAGGGTAATTGAACCATGCTGACATCATCTGTGGCTGAGCATGCAAAAGCATACTGGATCAGATGGTGATTTCTCTTACAAAGGGGTGGTGCAAGTTCAAACTCTGTCAGAGAGCACATTTTCTTTCTTCTTCTATATGCCATGCCCCTTCAGGACATAAACAACTATGGCTCTCCACAATTTTGTGTCCTTTGTAGCTCTTAATAAATTTTGTCTTGTTATCTCTCATAAACCTTGCTCTACCATCCATTTACTTAAGCTTGCTAGGTAGGTTATGCATTGTTTTCCTGTCTCTCCTGCCTTCAACCTGTTTTTATGAGTATCAAATTTTTTAAGCCCTCTTTTCTCATTATATGCTTTTAATATTTACAGTAACAAGAAACTTGTATATAAATTTTGACATTTTTAACAACTACATCATTCAGATAACTTTTTTAAGCATTGATATATTTAATATCATTAACAAGGCTAGTTTTTTTGGTTTCTTTTGTAAAAAATGCACTCTTGAAAATATCATTTAAGTTAAATTCTTCAGTGAGTACAAATAAGTTTTATTTTATAGCAAATTCACTAAAGATTTAATTGCCATCTAAGAAACCTGCCAGAATATCTTGTGTTTCTATGTCTGATGATACATCATGTTTCTCAATCTAAATGTCTTAAAAACAGAAGTATTTGTTGGTAATATGAGCCAAGAGATTGATAAGAACAAGAGTACATATCAGTATAATATACAATCACCAATGGATGGTAAGGGTTTGTGAAAGATTGATGGACAAGACATAAATGTGCTGGGTACAAAAAAATGCTAATTTCAATGATAACATGGACAAAAATCATGAAAACAAGTATTGCTGGTAGATTCTAGAAATTTATGCTCAAAGCCACTAGGTTAAAATTCCTGCAAACCATAAATAAGAGGTTCTCAGGTTAGATCAGCCATAAGAATACCAATTCAATAAATGACTCAGACACTTTTTCTCTTGCCACTACTGCTAGAATTTCTCTTTGTACCAGATACTCCACAAACTTATTGTTATAACTGTGTCATCTATAACTGAGAGAAAAAAGGAATAAAGACTTTACCAACCAGTGATAAGACATTTCAATATGGATGCCTTCAAAATATATATATATATATATATATATAGAGAGAGAGAGAGAGAGAGAGAGAGAGTAGTTGATTTGTTTATGGCTTATCACCACTTTGTGATTTATTTAAAGCCAAAATATTTTTAAATTGTATAATTTTTTCAATATGTAGAACCAGAGAAAAACAGCCTTGAGACAATTTTTGCTTCTTTATTTAGTCAAAGTTTGGGATGGATTATTTATCAAAGCTGAACTTTTATGCATTTTCATGCATTGAAAGTTTTGAGTAGATAATTTAGCAGTATTGGGCTTTTGTGCTTCTTTGCTTACTGTGGGTTTTACTAGTAAAACATTTAACTGAACAAACTTTGCTACAACATATAAAAGAAAATCAACAAGGAGATATTAAAATCATCAAAAAATAAACCAAATAGCTAGATTTGTTTAGATATAACAAATGAAACAAAACTGTCAGTGATGAAATCCTCACTTCTTAATGAGGGTTACAGTTGAAGAAAACAAAAATATAGTCATATTATTACTTAAACATCACTCTTGGATAGCCTTTAAAAACTTTAAATAAGAGACTTTCATCCCAAAGTGATTTGATGAGTCATAGATCAGTTACTGTAACAGTTAAAGTTTCCATGGAAATGAATAAGCAACATTACTTTTAGAGTGACTCCGCCTAATATATGCACATATTTTTAAGAAATAAAATAATACTCATTATTAACACAATGAAAAATATATACTAGTAAGTTTGCTTTTAACCTATTAACTGTGGTAGAAATTTATCTCACTAGCAGTTAAGACATAGAATTGCAATGACAAAACTTCCCATTATTCACAGTTCAGAGTATCACCTGTATTAAAATTCAGAACATTAGCAATTAATAGTCAATCATTTTACACAGTTAAATTCAATTTAAGATAGGGTACTGGTTTGTTAAAACGGTTTTTTCTGCATTTATTGAACATGAAGGGCATTTAGTTTTAATTAACTTCAGCCAAAATATTAGTTTTGACTGTATTGGAATGGCTGTTATGTTATCAGACATTTTATTCAAACTTGGTATATTTTTTTTGATTCTAACATTGAGAGTGAAAAATATTTTCAGTATATTATGCTTTTTTTTTTAAGAAATGTTAAAAAAAAAATGTAATTGATGGAGATGATACTGCAAATAGTCAAATGTATCAGAAGTAGCTTGTGAAGTTTAACAATGTTCCATAGCAATTAAAATAATTAATTTTATATAATACAAGAATTAGCCAACATACTAAAAATATCTAAACCAAATGGTGTAAATCATTTCCAATTTGGTTATGTGTGTCACTTTGATGTGTGTCATAAAAAACACAGAGCACGGCATTTTCACATGCAATTCAATATTTAAATGATTCAAAAGTGTTCCATTTTGTGATGGAAAAGTGGTTAATTTACAACAATGTTAAATGCAAGAGATCATGAGGCAAACAATATGAATCATCATTACCTATAGAAAAATCTGGTCTTTATCCAAAGAATGCTATGAATATGGTAGGACTGAAAAAGAGTTCTCTAATGTGAACTCCTTCCAGAGAAGCAAATGATTCATTCAAACAAATACTGCTCCCAATTAGATCAACTAAAGGCAGTAATTGACAAAAGTTGTCCAGAATTAGTTAAAAGAAAAGGCATAATATTCCATCAAAATAATACTAGCTTATCTCTTTCTTAGAAAATATTGTGATAGCTGGAAATTTTTCACTAAATCTGATGTAGTCACTAAATATTGCATTTTCAAATTGCCATTTATTCTTATCTTTTCAAAATTCTTTTAATGAAAAAAAAATCTATTGACTTGAAGATAACAAAATGTCTCTAGAGCAGTTCTTTACTGAGAAATATAAAACATTCTGGAAGAATGGAATTATAAAGTTACCAGAAAGATGAAAAAAACACTGTAGAACAAATTGTAAATATTTGTTTTATTTTTAATTAATAAACTGAACAAACATTTTGTTTACCCACTATAAGGATTCAATAAAACAGAACTGATTAATGGACAGAGAAAAGGGAGAGAGACATACTTGCACCTTTTGCATGCAACTCAAAATCATTTGTTCACTTGATAAAGATCAAAACAGTTATCATGAGGTTAATGAAGAATCTAGGATAATTTTCTTGTTTAATTTAAATTCCTAATAAAATATAACCACATACACAAACACACTGTGGGTGTAAAATGTCATACAAAGCAACTAAGCTTGAAGATTTATAGCATTTCAAATTGCTTTTGAGTTAATGGGTAAAAGAATTTTTTTAAATGGATGAAAATTAATACTTGTTTAAAAATTACAAATTAACAATAAAAAAACTGGTTTGGAACGTTCTATTTATAAAATCAGATGAACAAACAATTTTTGTTCAAATTTTAATCATGCAATTAAGAAATAAAATGTGTTCTTGTGTGTCTGCCTCACATTACATCGTAATATTCTTACACAAAAGACCAAAGTATCTGTTCTTTTGCTCCTAACAGAGAGAGGAAAAGAAAGCAGACATGTTTATTAATAATTCTTCTTAAATGAATATACTAATAATCAATACTCAATGTAACAATAATCAATAATCAAATAATAATAATAATCAACACTACTTCATTTAATAAATTCAAATGAAATTTTTAAATGAAGTATTGTCTATTATTATTCTTTTTATATCTGTTGATTTTTACTGCAAACCTAAATAGATCCACTTAAGAAAAAAGCATAGCACTGCCTAAAAATATATGAACTCCACCAAACAATCAGCCCAATGAGCCATATAACAAAATTTATCATCCAAATTCTGATGAATAGCATATGCAGCAACATTAGACTGGAAATGGGACAAGAAAAGTGTGGTGGTGTTAAAGACACTGGAACAAAGAATACAATATTTATGCTCAAAATGATATCAGAGAGAGTAATATAGATGTAATCTTACTTATTATAAAACTCAGGTTGTGTGTGTGTCTGTTCATTTATATATGGGATCGGATTTCCCACATTTTTCAACCGATTTCAACAAAACTTCACAGGACTACGTAAAATTACCCAGCGGTGGTTCTGACAGCACCAAAAAGTTAGAAAAACACAATTGGTTTTTGCATGAAATCAAGCACGGGAAAGGGCCATTTATGCAGATTTTTCGCAGTCTTTGGATGATGTTTTGTTACCGAGCATGTCCAATCATCGCACAGGATTTCTCACACGTTATAGCACCTGCGTGATCACGTGTCAGCTTATGTGTGAGTGCGCTCAAGGTCAACCACCTCTATTGCGTGACTCGGGTGTGCTTTCACACTTTTGCGTTTATTGTTGCCCGCGTACACGCACTTGGCTTACTTTATTCGCCTACTTTGGACACTGCAAGTTGTTGATTACATGTTCTAGCTGCTTTTTGTTCTATAGTTCCAACCCAACCCCACATTCATTAGCCAATTGTACTAAAAACCCATTTCCTTTTGGATTTACCCATGGTTTACCTTTTTAAATTTCCACTTTTTTAGTTTTGAGTTCCCCTTTAGTAACATCTGAACTCATTTTACTGAGTGTTTCCCTTTTTGTGTCTACGTTAACAGTGCATGTTTTTTCGTTTTGGATTTGTCGAAATCTCTTTTTAAGCTTTACCCTCTTTGACGTTTTTACTGTTTGGATGCCACCTAAAAGGAGGAAACTTTTTGGACGGCACACGGCAGCTGTCTCCGCTACTAGAGCAGCGAGGGTGAGTGAAACCTCTGAACAGACTTCTTTGTATCTTTCACGGATGTCCTCAAGCTCAGCTGCTCGCTTATCTACAGAAAGCGCAGCTGCGCGGACTGAAAGGTTGGCTTCAGTGGCTTCAACCATGTCTGCACACCGCACCAGGCTTTCAGTTGAAGAACATTCACTTCAGAATTCACAGGACGCAGTCCGCATGGCTAGGTTGAGGGCTTCACAGTCCCCAGCACAGAAAACCCTTCGTCGTTTGCAGGATGCCACTGCCAAAGCTTGCTCCAGGGGTTTAGAAAGCCCTGAACAAACAACTTCACGTTGTCTTAGGAATACTAGGGCTACAGCCACATCTAGAGCTTCGAAAAAACCCCAAGAAACCGCTCATCATCGCTTTAGAAATGCCCTATCCAACGCATCTGCCAGAGCCTTAGAAAGCCCTGCACAGACCACTGTTCATCGCGTTAGAAATGCCCACTCTACTGCATCTGCTAGAGCCCTAGAAAGCCCTGCAAAAACCAGTTTGTCATGTTAGAAATGCCCGCTCTACTGCATCTGCCAGGGCTACAGAAAACTCTGAAGTACGCCGTCAACGGCTCAGAAACATTAGCCAACTTTGAGCTTCTTTGAATGGCGTAACTTCGTTGTCTGCGTCATCTTGGTCAAATGCCGCATACAATTATGACTGCACTGTCAACTATTCTGCTAGGAGAGACGTACAAGTAGGGGACATGGATAAAGTTTGCACTTTTTGCAATGCAAAAAAGTGGGCCGGTGAGCAACCTCGGCTTTATTGCTCTGGGGCAAAATCAAACTCCCTTCTTTAGACTAACCTGCCCAGACGCTTAGGGACCTCCTTCTGGGTACAACTTCGAAGTCAACACATTTTCTTGAAGCAATACGGAAGTACAACTATTGCTTCCAGGTGACGTCTTTTGGTGCGAAGGCTATTAGTGAGGGGGGATGGATGCCTACTTTCAAAGTGCAAGGCCAGGTTTACCACTTAATGGAATCACTTTTGGCTGATCAGAGAGAGCCACCTCAAATTTACAAATTCACTTTCTTGCTGACTACAACGAGCAGGTTGATGCCTCGTGATATTTCCATCGGTCCCCGTAGAGACATTCTGTTCCGTCTACAAAACATACTTCACAAAACTAACAGTTACATCCAAAGCTTAAAGTTTGCGTTGCAAAACAACACTTCGCCTTCTTTCAGTGTTGTCATTGATGCAGACAGCTAGCCTCACGGTGAGCACAAGCGTTGCTTCAATGCTCCTGCATGTAATAAAGTCGCCGCAGTCATCCACGGTGAGGAGCATAACAGCCGTGACATTGTCATCAAGTACCGGGGAGGTGGTCTGCGCCGCATCAGTGAAACCCACCAGTCATACAACTGTCTCCAGTACCCCCTTTTTTCATACGGAAGCGATTGGCACCACTTCAAAATCCCAATATACCAGGCAAGCAGCAATTCAATGTCGACCTCTAAGACGGTCTCCTGTAGGGCTTACTATGCCTACATGTTTATGGTTAGGGAGGGCGAATTTAACCACTTGTACAGGTGTCGTCAACTATTTCTTCAATTCGCTGTTGACATGTCTGCAAAAATGGAGTCGGAGAGGTTAGGATTCATCAAGTTAAACAAATCCAAACTTAGAACCGACTCCTACATTCACCTTCGTGATGGTCTGCGTTCTGATGGTGACCCACGCAATCTCGGCAAACCGTGCATTTTGACTTCCTCTTACACTGGTGGCCCTCGATACATGCATGAAAGGACACAAAACGCAATGACCTATGTCCATCATTATGGGAGGCCTGATTTGTTCGTCACATTCACGTGCAATCTGAAATGGGTTGAAATCACACGGGAACTTTTTCCAGGTCAGCAGTACTCACACCGCCCTGACCTAATTGCCCGCGTTTTCCGGTTACAGCTGTGTAAGCTTATGTATTTAATCCTTAAAGGGCAAGTCTTCGGACGTGTTAAGTGTCATATGTACAGTGGAATGGCAGAAACAAAGTGTGCCTCATGCCCACATTCTGCTGTGGCTCAACGATAAGGTTGACGCAAACAAAATAGACGATTTTATTTCTGCTGAAATGCTGGATCCTTTGCTCCATGAAATCATTAAAAACAATATGATACATGGCCCCTGTGGCGCAAATTACGAAAAAAGGTCATGTTGGTCAAGTGGCCCCACTTGCGCAAAGGGTTACCCCCGTAAGTTTATCTCAGAAACGCAGACTGCGACAGATGGTTATTCACTGTACAGACGTAGAAGCCCTGTTGATGGCGGCAGAAATGTGACAGGGTAGGGGCACATTCTGGACAATCATTGGGTGGTACCTTATTGCCCGCTGCTGTCCAAGACATTTGGAGCCCACATAAATGTTGAATACTGCCATTCGGTTAAGTCAATAAAGTACATCTGCAAGTACGTTAATAAAGGCAGTGATGCTGCCATTTTCGGTATCCAGCATGACAATTGGGTTGACGAGGTGGCCGATTATGTGGCTGGACGCTACCTCAGCAGTAGCGAGGCCTTTTGGCGAATTTTCGAATTCCCCCTACACCAAAGGGCTCCAGCCATTGTGCAGCTTGCTGTTCACTTAGAAAATGGACAGAGGATGTACTTCACCGAACAAAACGCCCAGCAGGTTGCGGAAAACCCTAAAGACACAACCCTAACAGCTTTCTTTAAATTATGCTCAACAGATGCTATTGCCAAAACATTGATATACCCCCAAGTCCCGTCCTACTACGTATGGTCAAACAACTGGTGGGTTCAGTGAAAGGCTGGCGACCATGTCGAAGGTTATCCCGATGTAAGGTCTAACTCTTGCCTTGGATGTGTTTATACTGTGCCCCCCAGCCAGCAGGAGTGCTTTTACCTCTGCCTTCTACTTCATGAAATTGCTGGGCCAACGAGTTTCACAGATATTCACACTGTCAACGGAATAGAGTGCCAGTCTTATAGAGAGGCATGTTTCTGTTTGGGATTGCTTGAAGACGACTCCCAATGGGATGCAGCCATGGCGGAGGGTGAACTTCTCAGAATGCCATCACAGCTTCGAACGAGCACCTGCAGTTCGTACCAGTGCATACAAGCACATTCACACTTGAGAAGCTTCGGAGTTCATTTAATTGTCACAAAAAGTCTTTTGCGCTCTCTTCAGGCTTCTGCTTCCATATACACTTTTACGGCTGCCATGGGTGAAACATGTCAGCCATACGCTCTATTGTTTTGTTTGTAGTTGTGTAAAAAACCTAAAACACATGCCAAGTACGTGGCGACCCTGGTTGGTTTTCATAAGCTCTCAGCCGTGATGTTGATCAAGACTGAAGAGAAAGCACTTCTCCATTGCAATTGAGGCGCTCAGCTGTACGGCGACCCCGGTCTGGTTCCATGAGCTCTCAGCATGATGTTGACTGCGACTGAAGAGATGGCACTTCTCCATTGCAATTACGATGCTCGGCCTTACGGCTACCCCCGTTGCGGTTTTAAGGGCTCTCAGCCGCAATGTAGATAGTGACAGATCAGAATAAAGGAAGTTATATCACAGAAATTTTCTTACCATAACAACCCGTCACTGTTCGCTCTTCTCTCACTTTTACGGTTCTGCTTTGTGTTCATGGCAGCGCTGTCTTTCGGGCATAAGACGCGTCTTTTAGTTAGACAAGCGGTTTGTTTGTGATTGCACACGGCACATACTTTATGTCTATGGCTTCCTCACGGCACGTTTTCCCTTCAATCCCTATGTATGTTGCAACTGAATTATGGTTTCTTGACTACTTACCACAAGTGCTTCCAGTAATGCTTAACGGTCCAATTGGTTAAAGCAGTAACTGCTGCCAGCTTTTACTCACAGATATCTTAGTAATGGCAAATGACTGATGCTACAACGGCTTTCCTTTACTTCCTTCGATACCTTCGAATGATTGGGCCTGCATGATGTCTGCTTAAACTTTGTGTGCATTGCGTTTCAACGTTTTATAGAAACTTAGTTCCTGTTAACTTACAAAGCACATCTTTCAAAGCAACAGCTGTCCCCAACTCTTACTGTTACATACCTGGGCAACGCTGGGCTCTACTGCTAGTAGGATATATACCGATGTCTTATAGAATCATGCAACAGCATTTGATAAAGCCTGTCACAAAGAACTGTTGTAACTGCTAGGTAACCTTGACATATTTAGGAAGGATATTAGAATAATCCAGAACCTATACTGTCAGCAAACCACTTGCATATAGAAAATGAATTCAGTAAATATACAAAAATAGAAAGGCATGTAAAACAAGCATGTGTCTTCTCATCAGATTTATTCAAACTTTACAGCGAGATGATTCTGAGAAAATTAGAATTCCTACCAGAATTTGTTAGTGGGGGCCATAATCTTAACAAGATTAAAGTTGCAGATGACACAATGTTGATAGCAGACACAGAAAGGAAAATACGGGAATTTCTACAGAAGGTACTAAAGGAAAGTGTGAAGAAAGGACTAAACATCAATTGTGAGGAGACAGAATATATGGTTATCAGTAAAATGAAGAGTCCAACATGTAAATTATAAATTGAAGATACCAAAATCAAGCAAGTACAAAAGTTTAAAGAAAGTGCTTTAACAGAGGTTGGAAAATGTGAGACTGAAGTCCAAAGGTTCATTGGGATAGTGAAAGATGTCTTCCAAGAGCTAAGCAAAGTATTAAAAAAAGAATCTTGTTAGAAACAAAGACTAATTGTTATGTAATATTAGCCCACCTATATGGCAATCTCCACATAGATGAAGAATAGACTTGAGGCAACAAAAATGTGGTTCTACAAAAGGATGCTGAGAATACCATGGATTGAACAGGGGAGCAATGACAAAGTTTTAAAGAAAATGAAAACAAAAAGGACATTTATATTTAACTTAAGAAAAGAGTACTGAAATTTCTAGAGTACATAATAAGGAAAGCAGGCTTAGAAAATTTGACATTCACGGAACATATTGAAAGCAAGAGGGACAAAGGAAAGCCGTGCATAACCCATCTAACAATCTTGTATAAATGGGATTAGGAGAGATAACAAAAAGTCAAAATTTTACTAAAAGCTACAAAGGACAGGAAATTGTAGAGAGCCATGACTGTCCACATCCTGAAGAGAAATGGCATATAGAAGTCTGTCATTTATTAATAAGTAGTTTGAATACCAGTCAAATTATATATATATATATATATATATATATATATATATATATATATATATATATATAGAGAGAGAGAGAGAGAGAGAGAGAGAGAGAGAGATAAGAAAGTTCTAAGAAAAACAGACGATATTTTCTCTTTTTTTTTAACACACACAAATACCATATATGTATTAAATGTCTTGTTATTCATTAAATCCTACACAAGAGGAATTTTAAGTCTCAAATAGGTTCCTGGTTAAAGCGACTACAAGAACTCCACCCAATTTCAGTCTTTCCAATATATTTTATTTATTTTATTTAGGCCAATCCATATAGGGACAGACAAGCTGACCTACTTACATA